TTTATAATGAGAAGACCTGTGTACATATTTATTAGACAGCCTTTCCTAACAAGACTTATTTTTGCTTGTATCACTGTTGGTCTCAATGAGGAACTCATCCGCCTTTTGGTGCTATGCAGTTAATCATGCATTGCTTAAATAGTTTGTTAAGTCCCCATCTTTTCTGAGAGGAAGATAATTATGTTTATGAATTAGTAATATCACCCTCACGAGTAATTCCCTTTGGAGTACTTTCCATTTTGACAACTTAGGAAAGAAGCATTGTCTTTTGGGTCTACCTGAATTAAACGCAGGTGTGGGCATCAGGGGAGGGTTAATTTGAAAATGAACAGTAAAAGAGAAGCATGCACATAACAGCAAGTACATAACAGAAAGGAAAGGAAAAAATTGAGAAGTGTTGAGGAGCTGAAGAGTGTGAGTCAAGGAATTCCAAACCAGAAATATTGTTTTTATTCCAGTTAAATTAGAAATGGTACTTTGTGAAGGATCTATGAAAGAAGAAAAAATTATATAAAGCAGAAAGATTTAATTAAAGGAGAAGAGAAAGAATGGTAAGACATCAACTAATTGATTGCTTTGAAAATATCTTTCAAATGTGTTTTCAATTGTAGGATTGGAAATATTTGTTTGACTGTGTGCTTTAATATTCACAAAGAATAATCTTTATAAGCATAGAGATGTATTCCTCAAGCTTTAATGCATTTTGCAAAAATTATTGTAGTAAACTGAATACCACTGTAGAACAATTTAATGGAGAGTAAAGTAAGATTTTACACAAGCAAGAAAAAATGTATAGAATAGGTGGTGCCTGGCTCAACTGGAAGTAACTGTGAGTTGGAAATTTATCAAACAGATCCATTCTAGAAATAGGAAGAAATTTCCTGACAGTGAGAACAATTAATCAGAGAAATGGGATGCCTTTAGAAATTGTGAGTATACCACCACTGGAAGTTTTTAAGAAGACATTTGTCCGTAATAACATAAGGTCTCATGCTTCAGCAGGGGATGGACTAGAAAACCACCAAGGTCTCTTCCAACTCTGTTATTCTTTACAAACCTCTCCACTCAGTCTTTCCAAGAGAATGGTGATAAACAATATTTGCTATCAGGTCTTCTGATAACAAAATCTCATCTTATTGGCTAGTGTCAAGGGGAAGAGATGACTTTGAAAAAGCTTTCTCTCTCACCATAACATGAAAGATGAAGTGAGGATTAGCTGGGAGGGGAAGGGTGAGAAGCCAGGCAAGTTTCCCCTCCATGTGAGTGACGTTGAGTTGGCCATGCCCACCCAGTCACATGACCACCAAGCCATGCCCACCTGGTCATGTAACCACCAAGCCACGCCCACCCAGTCAAATGACCACCAAACCACACCCACAAATTAGGCCATGCCCACAGAACCGGTTGTTAAGAAATTTGAATCCCACCCCTGCTGTGTTCCCAGCTGAAGCTAATGAAGGGAATCAGGGCCTTTTCCTCCCCCATAAGCCACACAACTTATGTTGCTTCCTTCTCTGTTCCTCCCTGCGTGCCCTAGGATGAAGAGGTGATGGGCCTGGGTCTTCCTCCAAATTCCTTCTGCCTTGCTCTACCTCTCCCCTGCTCTGCCCAGCCAGACTGTGCCTGTCAGCTGGTGCTCCATTCAAAATCCAAGAAAGACATACTTAGACTCCTTTAATCAGAGAAAAGATATCTTTTACTGGAAATCAAGTGGTAGCAACAAAATAATTCTGAATCTGAGAAAATGGGCACGTAAATCACATATACAAAGAAATAGCAACGTTCCCACCCCCAATAGTTCAATTGGCTCATCCAATTAAAAGTTGTGTATATCATCATGTGGGCATCTCCAGGTGGTGATGAGGCTTCTGTCCGTTGACCTTGACATAGTTTGATAAAGGGTTGCAGCTGTGCATAGGATGGGATAGAAACCTAAGCAAAAATGTACCCCCCCCCCCAGTTTATACAGTTCTGGTTTGTAACACCTCCAGCTCGCTTCCCATAACCATTCCCCACTCCTCCCCCCGTTACTTATGACAGTCGAAAGATGCAAAGCAAAGGGAGAAAATCTTGAAGGCTGACAGTGCCTTTCTCCAGTTTTTTCCACAGCCAACGGAGCCACACTTCCACTCCCTGTCAGCTGCTTGGCCTCCCCCTCTGAATCAGATTCCAACAGGGACAATAGGTGCCCCTGACATGAGTGACATTGAGTTGGCCACACACACCCAGCCACACACACTCTGGCCATGCTTCCCCCAGCCCGAGGTGAAACACAACCCTGATGCAAGTCTCAATGAAATCAAGTTTGACACTCCTGCTATCCAGTATGAAGATGAGGTGTATGTCTCTGTTGGTATATTCATAGAATCAAATAGAGATGACTTGTTCCCCTTTCCCCATGTGACATAAAATTAGAATTGAGGGGGACCAATTTTTACAAGAGATTGCTATTACCACTAGTTCAGGGTGCAAGAATGGGAAAAATTGGAAAACGTATGTATTTGAGATAAACCCCTTTCAAATGAGCCCTACGGCCCTTAAAACCTATTGAGAGATCTCTTGCAGGTTGTCACATCTTAACATTTTATTGTGAACCTCCTCTCCCACATTGATTCCTAAATACACAAGACCAAGATACAAAAGCTCCACTTGACATCAAAACTAGTTTTACAAAATGACCAAACTTTGTAGCACTACAATATGAAATTCTCAAAACCTAACAAATGAAGCCAACTATCCTGATTTGCATTCAGACCCTCACTGATTGCTATTGTCTGTTTCAAAAATGTGGATTCCTCACAAAAGAGTATGATGAATCTAATGGCACTGGTTTTGTGGAAGTTTATGCAGTTTGTCAGTATGGGTTACCCAACAGTGTGGTCAAAGCATACAATAATTAGAGGCAATTCAGCCTGTAATTTGCTCCTAGTTGTTTTACTCCAACTTTATATTGGAGCAAGTTCCAGTAAGTTTGATGGGATAATTTTGAGTAAACCTCCATTTATTTGGCTATAAGGAAGGAGATTATTACACTAACAAAGATCATACTCGAGATCTGACCATCTCTTCTTACACTGCAAGTGTTAGCCTGGGATGATGTTATTTGGAGGAAAGAGTACAAATGTGACAATAATTGGAGCTCCCCAACTATTCCATTACAAACCTGGTTCTTTTCAGGGCATCCAATGTTACTGGCTCTTTCAAGTAAGCTTCTTAGCTTGAAGATGTTATTAATGCCTTATAAATTGTCCTGGAGAAATCTCAGAGTAGGTAGTCTGTCAGGATTCCTCTTACCAATTGGGGTAACTCTGCAGACAGTGGGGATGAAGCCCAATTTGGGGCTCCCTCCAAATGGGTGGGATTTCAACTCCCCAAATGCTCAGTAATGGCTATGCTAAAGGCATAAGTATCAGTTCAAGTATTGTGACATAATGATGCAAGCATTGCCTCATCATACATGCATTATTAACATCATACTTAGTGGTCAGAATGTATTTCCCACTTGTCACCTTGCACCCATGGATACTTAAGGCTAGCTGAGGAATTCTGGGAGTTGAAGTGTACTCATCAGGAGGTTGGTCATATTCAGCAAGGCTGACTCACAATATTTGGTAAGTTCCCTGATATTCTTGACTGCATTATTTTGGGGGAGAGAACGGACATTTTGGTTTCAGGAGAATAGTATAGATTTTTTTTTAATCAGACAACATTTGTTTTGTGTTTCAGATTTGCAATGTGTACTTTGCATTTTTCAAGTCATGGTAAATATTTGTAAGAAAGTACAGATGAATACTGTATATGCACCGTATATATATTGCACAATGTTTGGGCTCCTTCCAGATTTCTCAGTTTATTCTGTGAATTATATCTATCCAGGAATATATTTAAAGTTCTCTCAATTATGTACACGTGTGGTAACTGATTTTTATGGCTTTTCTTTCTATCTGGGTACCACAAGCATAATTAACCACCTTCTACTCAGCACTTCAGGGATGCAGAAAGGCCTTCCTTTTTTATAGCTATTTTGAACCAAACCAGCTTCAGGTTTTGAAAAGCCCTGGAAAAAGATAGGGCATCTCAAAAAACTATGGTTCAGAAGGCAATATGATTGTTAGACCACTTTAAACAATAATCACATCTGAGCTAGAATTGTGTTAGGCAGCCTTTAAATTTAAATAAATAAATAAATAAAAACGATGACCACAATAATGAAAAAACCCCCTGTGTTTTACAAATGTAGGGGTCTGTTTTCTTTTTCCCAAATATAAATGTAAGTTAAATAGATTCAAGAAATGGAAGAAGCTGACTGAGAGAAAGTGTAGCAGCTCTGTCAAACCTGAAAATAGGAACAAAAACATCTCATTCATACATCTATAAACATCAATAGGCTACAAGATTTCTGCAAGAAAGGGATATTACTGATACTATTACAAAGAAAAGAGCAGAAGTTTTACAGAAAATTTGACAAATTTCAGCCATTCTAATGTCTATCTTAAGGGACCTTATCACAGTATTGGAATTGCTTGGGTAGGTTCTGATAATATAAGGAACGTTTTGAAGCCCATTGATCCATAACAACTGGCTGATAATAAACGATTTCTTGCCTTTCTCTGTCTTACACATGGAAGTGAACAAGCATGTTGTTTGCCTTGGTCCTGATACGAAGTAATGGGGATTTTTATGAGAGTCTAGAAAGAATCTTAAATTTTGGAATAATCCCATTTTTTTCACCATTTTCTGATTTCCAGCTTAGATATACAGTCAATATAATTTCAAATCAGAGAAATTGAATCACAACAAAGTCAACAGTGATAAAGCTGGTTGTGCCTTAGTGTTCTGCTTTCTAGAGCATTTCAGGGAGCTTGTTCAGTCTGTGCTCTTCTAGACAGCAACTTCCCTGGTAAAACTTTGACACATTGAAAAAAAGAAGAAAAGAAAGCAAAGCAGTGAGTGAATGAGGCTATGGAACCTTGGCTGTGAGATGAATATCTGTCAAGATTTCATTTCAGTCTAATGCAGTCCACCTCCTCCGTGATGGGCATTGCGCTGGTTCTGATGTCCATATCTACACTAGCCTTGGATCCATAGTAGGTGGACCTCCACCTAAGCAGCATAATCTTCTTGAAGTACTTCATGGTGTTGTTCTTGACTGTCACAAAGCACATGGTGTTTATCATGCTATTGCTCATGGCGATGCATTCCACAATGTAGAAGGCTGTCAAGTAATGCTTTTCCTTCACAAAGACAGTGGGGAAGAAGTCACGGACAATTGTGAAGCCATAGAAGGGTGCCCAGCAGAGAACATACGCAGTTAGGATGCACATGAGCACCAGCACGGTTTTCCTTCTGCAACGAAGCCTTTTTCTGATCTGCTCTGTCTGGAAGCCTGGCACAGTTTTAAACCAAAGCTCCTGTGAAATCCTGGCATAGCAGAGGGTCATGGTGAAGACTGGCCCAACAAATTCGACACCAAAGATGAACAGAAAATAGGATTTGTAATACATCTGCTGATCGACTGGCCAAATCTGTCCACAGAAAAACTTCTTTTGGTTTTTTATCATAAACAGTTCAGTCTCGGTTGCAAAATAGGCTGATGGTATTGCAATGATCAGGGAGACGATCCACACCAAAGCAATTAGACAGGTTGCTGTTTGGTAATTCATCCGAGGTTTCAATGGGTGAACAATGGCAAGGTATCTGCAAAATACAGAAGTTTCCAAATTTGTATTAGAAAAGATCCACTCGTTTTTATTGCTTCAAAGTAGCTTAAGGTAATTAACAGAAATGGCAATTTGTTTTATTGGCCATCGAGCTGCTCTTATTCAATATTTAAGAAATGGAATTGTAGGTAGTGTATCATTGATACAATGCTACTAATTCTAACTGAGAAATTGGGAAAATGGCATTATTCTGCCTTCAAAGCCCTAGTATATATATATTTTTTCAATTGGAGAATACAGCTCCCATCATCATCATTGCTCTGTAGACTCCAAATATAGCTTTTCCTACTTTGCATACCCAGTCTGTTGGGCTACAACACTCACTATTCCTTGATAGAATAGAGTGTGGTTAACTATAGTTTATTCATATCTGCAGGCAACCAAGATAGAAGACCTTGCCCTAATATTTGATCAAAAGACATCTTCCACTAACATAGCATCCAATAACAAAGCACCCCTAGAGATTCAAAGGAAGTGGCCTGATAACTCCAGAAAAAAACAGCAAGATGTCCTTCGTCAAAGGAATCTGGGACCATTCTTCTGTAATTTCTTCAGATTTCAGATCTGCAGACACTGGTCACAATCATACACAATGCCTCTCCTCCACTGCCTTTAATTCTAGAGAATTGGGGAGGGTTGATTCACTTGTCCTTTGGACTGTAGTTTGTGGCACTTTCTCCTGACTCTTATGATTATTCCTACAGCTCCTTATACTTTACAGCCGGGTACAAACATAAAAATCCATATGTTGATTTTGTAATACATGTTTTATTATTTTACGTATGTGTGGATCAAGCCACTATGGGTTATTTATAGTGCCATGGCTTGGTGTGATGTGCAAATCCTGAATCTGTACACTGTGGGTGATTGACAGTGTGATAGTTATGGCTTTGTCTGAAGAGGTCTGGATTTGCATTGGGGAGACTATCCAATTTGTTTCATCGAGTTTCAGAAGTAATATGGTTTCCCTCAGTGAATCACTTTGTGTCATCTTGAAGACTTGGACAGCAGTTCTGATAGTGCCAATAACAGACAATATTTGTAGCTCTGGGTTGACATGAGGGGTCCTTGATGCTCTATGAACTTGGTTGATGATGTTACCTAGTGTGAGTAATAAAACATCTGCAAGAAAACAATCAAGCTCAGAGAGCGCCAAGGACCTCTTAGTTCTAATAGACTGAAGAGGTTCCTGACCTTGAGCAGAAAGACTCTTCCAACAATGGAACACCTCCGTTACCATTTGAAATAGTTAGGGAAGGCATCCGAAATAATGCAATTGATTCACTTTTAATATGTGGGGTTTGTATATGTGGGAGGATGGTGGAGGTTGTCATAGCTCTTCTTCAATTAGGTGATTGGACTGAAGTTTTGCATAGCCCTAGGGGATTATTTATCATCATTCTCTTAGCTCTTCAAGAACTATCAGAATGTACTAACCTCTTCTTTAGGGTTTTTTTTACAACTCATTTTTGTCCACTGAGATGAGTTTCTATTCACAGAAGTTTAAAAGAATTCTCTTTTAAGCTAAGTTTATATCCTTTCTTTTCTCTCCAAATTACAGTGACATTCTCCAAAGTCAGGCTGTACAATAAAAATAATAATTAAATCTTGTCTTTCCTATGTCACTGAATCTTTTCTGCTGAAGTGTAATATTTTCCATTTCACTGCTCTCAAATATTTTCTATTTGACCTTTGCTGAGCAAGTGGTTCCCATTATTTGTACATCACACGGGTCGCCAACCTTTTGGACCTCAGGGACCGCCAAACTCATAATTTTAGATCCCAGGGACCACTAACCAGTTTTGCGGGCGTGGCCTAATTGGTGGGTGTGGCTTGATGGTCATGTGACTGGCTGGGCATGGCTTTGTGTAAATATTATAAATATTTATATAAATATTGAATTTTTTATAAAAAAGAGCAACTTTTACCCAAAATCAGGTAAAGCAGGCAGACAGATTGAGTTACTCACAGAATCACAGATTCATTCAGAGATCTATCTATCTGCCACTGACTCGCTCAGTCTGTCACATGAAATTTGCTTGCAAACAAACTCACAAAATTAACTCACAACACACCATGCATGTAAATATTGAATTTTTTATTTTTAAAAAAGAGCAACTTCTACCCTAAATCAGGCAAATCAGGCAGATTGAGTTGCTCACAGAATCATTCAGTGATCTATCTATCTGCCATCAGCTAGCTCAATCTCTCAAATTTGCTTGTCGTGAGTCTGTGCTGAATTTGCTTGCAAGCAAACCTTCAGTCCTAAGGGAGGTTCGGCTGTGCTAAGCTGAAGAGCTAAAGACTAGCTAGAAAGCAAGAAATCCAACCATTTCCTGCTTCCTAGCTAATCTAAATCTCCTGGCAGAGCAGAATAGATGATGGTCAGAAAAAGGAAAAATAGCAATTTAGCAGGCAAGTTTACCGGGTAAGGAGTGAGTGGGCAGGGAGGGTTCCCGTGAACCATGTGGGCTGCACAGCCTTGTGTTTCTGCGCAGCCTAGTTTAATTGCTTTGGGGGGGGTGCTCTGGGGGTGAGATTTCTCTATGGCCCACCAAAATTTTCTCACGGCCCACCAGTGGGCCATGGCCCACCAGTTGGCATCCACTGGTACATCAAATCCAACATCTCAGATGGTGATATAGGTAGTATCAAATAAATGTGTAAACAAATATTTCTGATACATCACAGAGTAAACTATTTGAACGGCGTATACACTTATCTATAGGTTTCCCTACACACTGCTAATAATCTGGCACATTTAAAAATGTAAATATTTAGAGAATTCCATTGGTGGATCATATAACTTCAAATATAAGATTGATATCTCTAGGATGGATCCATATTTTAAAAAGGAATGACAAATTCCAATTCTTCCACATTTTTAGCCTATACTGCAAAGATATCACATCACTATAATTGCCTATAAAAACAGACATGCTAATAAATGTATCAATGTATATTCCAAACATGCCATCAGATATTGAATATGTCAAAGGCCACTGAAGGTTGATTTCATAAACATCCTTAGCTCATTCCAAGACTGAGCTGCTGTACAAAATAGAAGTAATGTTTGAACAGAAGGGATTGCTATCTTTATAGGATGTCCTCTGGGCAAGCCTTCCACAATTTGGCACTCTCTCCAAATGAGTTGGATTATAACCCTCTTATCCCCAACTACAGATAGCATATCAGAAAGCAGTACAGGTAGTCCTCGACTTACAACAGTTCATTTAGTGACCATTTGAAGTTACAACAGCACTGACAAATGTGACTTATGACCATTTTTCACATTTATGATCATTGGAACATCCCCAGGGTCATGTGATTTGCATTTGGATACTTGACAACTGGTTCATATTTATGACCGTTGCAGTACCCACCCATGGTCATGTAATTTATATTTGGATGCTTGATAACTGGTTCATATTTATGATGGTTGCATTGTCCCAGGGTCCAGTGATCCTCTTTTGTGGCCTTCTGATAAGCAAAGTCAACGGGGAAGCCAGATTCACTTAACAACCATGTTACTAACTTAACAGTGATCCATTTAACAAATGCGGCAAGAAAAGTCGTAAAATGGAGGGAAACTCATTTAGCAAATTTCCCCCTTAACAACATAAGTTTTGGGCTCCATTGTGATCGTAAGTTAAGGACTAGCTGTACTGGTTAAGAAGATGGGGACTGCAGTTTAGCAATATGAAGGGAAGCTGACACCAAGAGCATTTTTCATGCAAGTATCTACTGGCACTGAGGGTTGCTGCTAATAGAGCATGTATACCTATTTTACCTAAACTCTGCCATTTTCAAATGCAAAAGAATCCCATAAATTACTTGGGGTTCTATTTAAATCTTTTTTTAAAAGCCTGTAATTGCTTTAATGTAGGATTGTTGCCTGAAACAATAGATTCTCTTGTGGAGGGGAAATTGGGCAATCTTTGTTCATGATTAGTGTTTCATCGCAGCCTCCTTAATAATTACACGGGAAAGATATTCCTTTCAGCCTTGCCTGTTTTCCATATCTGAACGCTGTTCAAATTCTTTGAGATATTTCAAAACCCGATGTTTGAAATGCAGTAGACGGTTTGGGCATCAAGCAACAGCATTTTGAGTGATACCTGAGATGAGTACAACATGCTGTTTCAGTCTAAGCATTCTAAAACTGCAAAATCAAATCTGATTTCTACTGGTTAGTGGTCAATTGGGAAAACACAATCCTCAAAACATGTTTTGATTTATTCTGCAAATTGCCTTCTTCTGCAAATGACAATAATATCAGCATGTAAAACAAACGAAGACCTGGGTTTCTGAAAATAAAATGCTGGTTACTTTGGAACCATTTCCAGCAACCACAGTATTCCTCCCTTCTTCATGAACACTTCCAAAAGAGCAGAAACCCATCATTTATCATTAATGTAGTAACGTAGGATCACTGGAATTCCAGAGGTGAGGAATCTTAGAAAAGCCATCAATATCATTCTCAGAAAGCCAGAAGAGACTATCCCGAGCAGAGGTATAAGTGGAAGATTTCTACCCAAGCCTGACCAAACCTGGGGTGGTAGTGGCGGTTGATTGCTAAATCTATGGCCCCACTTTCAATCTGCACACAGCTCTGCCAAGACCTTGCATCCTTTTTCAGATGTTCCCCCAGCAGCTTTTTATTACAACTTTCTGCTTTTGATGTCAAATGATAACTGTGATTTATCTTTCAGTGCAATAATGATGAAGGGTTCTGAAATGGAAGAAGGCTTCCAATAAATCATATGCTCTTTTTTTAAAAAAAGAAAAGAATAGATACAGCAATTCCTGGCTCCAGTTAACCCTAGTTTCCCAACTGTCCCCTTACCTGTCCATAGCAATGGCCAAGAGTGCATTAGTTGAAACATAGAGGGAAACAGTGCGCAAATAATTGATGGATGCGCAGAGGATGTGGCCATGCTCCCAGGATAGCTGGCGCACCACATAATAGTCCATCTCAAATGGACAGCAAACAATGGCCACAATGAAGTCTGAGATAGCCAGGTTTGCAATGAGAAGATTGGTGAGATTCCGTAGCTTCTTATAACGGATGAGAGCAGCAATGAAAATGAAGTTGCCAATACCGCAGACCAACATGATTCCAGCCAGTGCCACACCAATGACAATTTTGGCAGCGAAGAAAGTGCGAGTCTTGGTCACATCATCATCATCATCCAAGAGCAGGTCATAGTCACTGTAGGTGAAGTTGAAAGGGAAGGTGAAGTTTTGATAAGCAGGGAAGTCTCCAATATGGTTGCCATAGATAGCAGCAAAGCTGGTATGTGGGTATGTGTTATTGGGATGATGTGCTTCCTGCTTCATGGTGGTGATCTTGTCTCTTTTTTTCAGTGATGAAAGTTATTGAACTTTATCTTTTCACCACCATCCATGGGAGAAACCTCACTGTTCTGTAAGTCATGTTCTCAACATCTTTGATAGCATCAGTATAATTTCTTACCTTTCAAGACAAGAGAGAAGACTTAGAGAAAGGATAACATACAGTTCTCTTCCCCCAAAGCTTATCTTGAGGCACGCCAAAGATTGGGAAGGACAAATCTTTTTCTAAGATCCTTTCCCACTTTTTATGCTTGGACAAAACAAGGTCAGTTTTCAAATCCACACGAGGGGCTTTTTCAGGTAGTTGCATTTTGTAAGAATATTTTCCCCACAAAAACGGAACTCACTGATTGACACTGAGGGGAGGGGAAGAAATAAAGTTAAATTTCCTTCAGCCTTTTACAATTTGTGAAAGGCTCCCAAAGAAACAAAACTGCCACTCTTGCATTTTAGCAACCCAAGTAATTAAATTGAGTGTGATGAGTTGCATGCCAGCAAGATTTTATTTTGCAAGTAGATAATTCCAATACCAGTTTACATTTCTCAACCTTTTGTTGAAGTCAATAAAACAGATTGATTGATTCCTGACATGAATAAACTACCTCAAACTCAAAGGCTCAATAAATCACTCCAAATACACAAAAGTAAAAGGAAGTTGGAGAGTCTTACTATGCAATGGAATCAATAACTTCATCCTGTAGGGACAAGGGAACCAAATTCTTCATCTGCTTGGAGATACTATGCTTATATAAATCAAGAATGGCTATCCAAAGTTTTAGGTAAGGTTCTCCGATGCCCTGATCTGAGTTCTAGTCATGAAGGGCTTTCCATTTTTCTGAGTAAGGAGGATTTTCAACACCGGGTCTCTCAAATATATATTGTGCCATCTATATTGGATCATTCAAGTGAATCTATAAACTGAACGCCTAGAGCTAATTGAATTTCAAGCTTCACCACTGTTTTGGATCTGTAGTTTGCTCATTTACCTGGACCACTTTTCTCTTTTATATAATGAAAAATGCTTTGTAAAAATAGGACTTGGTTGGTTTGTTATAACAAAATCAGCAGTGCAATGGCTGCTTAAATAGCCTCTGGCCTCCAGGGAAAAGGATGTGGTCAATCCAATCTGCCTGTTCTGGTTAGGAATGGTGCAAACTTTCCCAGGAAAAAGAAAGAGAGGCTGAAAACCAGAGGAATTGCATATAACCTTTCATAAGTGACATTATCTTACATAGCCTCATGTCTGTGTTTCCATTACTGTGGAAGGAAGACTGATATTTAAAGTTGCAAGATCAGATTGTATATTTTATATATAATTATGTAACTACTGAAGCCCAATGGAGTAATTGGATTCCAAATGCTGCAAAACAGTTAGGCTTATTTTGCATTGTGGAGATGTCAAGCAGCATCAGGTATTTTGTCTGGTTAGTAAAGAAGATTCTGCTTATGCTAATCAAACCTCAGTCATCATAGATTCGAGCAGCCTATACATTCCATCGTAAACAATCACACAACCAAATAAACAATTAAACATAATTTCCTGACAATACATTGGGATTCTCAGGGCAACGAACAGCTAGATTTTGCCATAAGAAACATCTCTGGGAAAGTTCAGTTGCTTATCATGTTTCATGTGTGGTAGGAATGTGTGATGTAAATGAAGAGGGAAAACCTTTCATCTAAATCCGTCTAAAGAAAAAGGTAAAAATTGCAGACTTGTTAGAGGCTTCCTGAGGCATTAGGTGGTTGCCAGGTCAAATCTTTGTTACTGTTCTGTTGGCATTCACGTAATTTTTATTGTGGGAAATTTAAGAGAAAAAAGTCTAACAGCACCATGCGTATCAGACTTATTCAGAACTAAGTTTCACTGACTTATGTCAGTGTTTCCTACAATTCCACCGCAAAGAAACAACCTTAGGAATAAAGCATAAATTTCTAGAGATTAATCACTACAATGTCTAAGAAGAGTGTAATATAGAACAATTCTCTGTGGCAGAAAAATCCAAATTCAAAATCAGTGTATGCCTTGACTGTAAACAAAGACACAATCAAAACAAACTAGTAAATTGTACATGCTGTCATCACGTTTGCTGATTAAAAACAAAGCCACCTAAAATAAATAAATCAGACTGTACCTGTTCTAGAGCTTGTATTTAGGACAAACTGTGACTTCTTCATATGCTGTAATCCCAAGAATTATTGGAGAGTCTTGAAAATCACTACAGAGTTCGTGAAATTGAAGAATGCTGTCTGGTTCTAGAAGTGGCATTGCAGAATGCAGGTCTTCTTTAGAGCTGAGCAAGAAGAGAAGTCTGACTCTCTGTGTGTCTGCATCTAAAGTCTATCCTCAGTAGGTGGCATCTTTATGCATATGTAATTTTAAAGAGGCAGTACTCAGTATGTCATATTCTGATACACATGTGATGTATGTTAAGAATCCATTTGTGTGTTTTATCCAGCCTTCAAGAAAATGGATTTTTTTAAAAAAAACCTTTGAGTTTATCAAGGGGAATTATCTTAGAAGGCTTGGGATCTGCTTAGATCACTTCACAACCAAAGAAATCCTCTCTTTTTCCTTCTCCTCCCCAAAGGGAATTGTGCTTTTTTTTTTTTGCTGAAAATCTGAACATGGTATGATTTTTCCAAAGAGCTTTTCTGTACAGAAGTTCAATTATTGTTGAAATTGTTTTAAGCAGCCAGTGCCATTTCAAAGATTTCCAGAGGTTGGTCATGTCCTGGACCTGATGTGACTGAATTTACTGCATGAAAGCTGCCTTCTCAACTGCTAACGGAATAAATAAATACTGGGATAAGAGATAAGTGCACATAGAAATAGTCCATCCAATCCAAAGCCTTTGAAAATGCCATTGAGTGATTGCAGTTAATGGTGTCATTTTCCCCAAATTTTGCTTTTTATGTCCATCATTTTCAGTACTTTGTTCCCCTATATGTAGATGAAATATTTAATTAGTGTACTCAGACATCCTGGCACTGATAATTATATCTATCAGTTCATTAAATCTAAGTGGTGGGATTCAACCACTGTTAGCTGAGCATGTGCTTTGCAGTGCATTTGAAAACAGCTTTAAAACTTACCTTCTGCTGCAGCCTCGGTGAGTAAAACAGCTGAGGCCTGGCAACCCACTCTGTCACGCCTATTAGCTGGGCTTCAAACAAAGGAAATATAGGACAGACTAGCGCAAGGGTGGGTGGGCATTGCCAACTCATTGCTGGAACAACCGGTTCACCTGAACCGGTCTGTATTGGCTGAATCCCACCCTTGGATCTAAGTCACAAATCCTACAACATGATTGATTTTAAAACAGCATGACTATGCACTGAATGAAAAAGTATTTAGGGCTCCTTGTGGAATTTGTGGTGCCTCAAAGGCACCATTAAGACCATTTGTAAAAAAATGTAAAGCCCTGAAATCTTTTTTCTCTTTAAATTAAAATCTGAGACAGAAACAAATTATCAGTTTTACTATCCCCTCTCTAATCTCTCAAACTCTCTAATTTTATCACCTTACCTTAAGATGTCTGTTACATCTTTTTGTAGGCAGGTAAGGAAAAAAAACCCTCCTCATAAAATACAGTAGTTAGTGCACTGGTCTTCAACTGTACATAGGAACACTTGAGGGTCTTCTGCCCCCAAGAATATGTGACTACTAAATCCTAACTATAGAGCAATGGACTATTTGGAATTCTGTTGGCCATCTTACCGTGTCATAGATCAAGTGACAGCTTTATTGCCCAAACTTACTGATTTACCTAAGCTGCTTCTATGCATGTTTGAGTTGCTTTTGTTATTATCATATTTAGATTGAGTCTTTTCTTTAGGAACTCAGGGAGATCATGCTTACACGTGGTACTTCCTTTTATCACAATTGCATTATCCTATGAGGAAATTAGGTTGAAAGTCAATGATAGTCACACAGTGACTTGCTATGTCTGGATGATAAATTCTACATCTTAGTCCAATACATTTACCTCTACACTATACTAGATTTTCTCAAGTGACAATTATTAGGAGAGATTTCTTGTACCTATTGTAAGTTCAGGTTCTAACTACCGCATATTTGAAAGATGAGATCTTTTCATCTTAAAATGCAGGAGCCCTTGTGGTGCAGTGGTTAAATGCAGTATTACAGGCAAACTCTGCCCATAGCCTAGAGTTTGATCCTGACCAGCCTCAGACTTGACTCAGCCTTCCATCTATTTGAGGTCAGTAAAGGAGGACTTAGATTGTTGGGGGCAATATGCAAATAATGAGGATATTGTAAACTGCTCAGAGAGTGCTGTAAAGTGACATGGGCCGGTATATAAATATAAATGCTTTTGCTATTGCTAAAACTCACATTAATTGATCAATAAGAGGTGCATTTAAAGCAATAGAATAGAATATTAAAATATCCAGAAAGCAGTAACTCACAATTGGTACCAACCTCAAGCTCAATAATCACAGTTACAGATGCTCTCTGACAGGATTTGCTTTGCCACAAGGTAGGAGTGCCCACTGAATCTCCCATGGGAGCTATTCCACATCTGGGGACCAAATATATAAGAAAACCTTCTTCATTTGGGCCTACCCTCACCTACCCTCACTTATGTGGGAAATCTTACCTATGTAGATGGTCATTAGCCCTGCAATGTTTTTTTTTTCCGCTGAACTGAGCAGCCCCTCTTCTTTTTAAGGTCATCCTTCCTGCTGCAGACATTTGTGCGGTACATGGGGAAGCCAAATGATCCAGGACTGATTTACAAGTGTCCTTGATATAAATTGACTGGACACGGGTTTTATTAACGAGGAACTGATGCTGCTGAATGAGAGAGATCCCTTCTGCATCATAGAAAGGGGAGGCCCAAAAGAATGGTGGTGATTTTTTGCCTCTCCAATTTACTGCAGGCAATTCTCCTCCTCAAATACAGGATGGCCTAGCCCCTTCTAGTCAATGTGCAACAGAATGAAAAGCTTTCCCATGAAGC